ATGGGCCTTGTGCGTTATTGTGCTGGACCGCGAGGCTGGGCCCAGACCAGAACAATTTCTATGTGATAGCATTCCCATTATTGTATCGGATATATGTGCTCCCTCACTTCCTTCTTATATAACACTTTCCATTTTACTTACAATCCAAATAAATTTAAACTCATTTTTATCTTCACCCTATTTTCAACATTTGATCACAGTTCATTCTTTTTCTCTCATTTCCTTAACCTCTCTCCTCTTTATGACAAATCAATAATAATAATAAAATTGAAAAGATACAAAATCAAATTTAAAAAGGATTGTTGAGACAATTTCTCTACATAGACAACTTTGTCTTTGACTCTTTCTCTCTCGACTTGAATAGCATTCACAGTCACAAAAATTGTCCATAATAAAAAGAATAAGTCAATAAATTAAAAGTACAAAAATATAAGACATATTTGAAACTAAATGGAACAAACATATACAAATTTCAACATCAAAACAATCAATTAAAATACCCTAACATAAGAAGAACGAAAGTTATGATAGAGATTGCAACCATAATATAGAAGACAAAGAAAAAGGAGAAAAAAAAGAGATGTGAGAAGAATTGGAAGTTCCATAAATCTTTGCAACATGAGCGCTCTTATAAATTTTCATTTGTAAAAACTGGTTATGTTTAATCCAGAGAGAAAATTGTCCATTGGATCCTTGTTTTGCTTTATGACATTTATATGTTCTTATCTTTCTTTTTTTTTATAACTTTCAGATAGTTATTGTATGTCTATCTCTTCCACAATAACCTTTAGGTGCTTATTGTATGTGGAAGTTACTTAAACTAATTCTTTGAATTGTAAAATATAGTATGTTAATTGATTGGAAATATGCTTCATCTCTCTTCAAGAATAAAAAGATCATTGATCAAAATTAAATAAATGAAAAAAAATATAGAATGGAAAAAATTTTTTTAAAAAAAAGTATGTTGATTGAGAAAGAGATGGAATTAAAAAAAAAAGAAATAAAAGATGTTTCTTAACTTGTGTCACAATTGACGGTTAATAGAAGTTATAGATGTAAGTTTTTTTTAAGAGATAGAAGTTAACTATTCAATTGGTAACCAACAAAAGTTACCAACTACTCAAGTTATTTATAAAAAAGATAAAGGGCAATTTTGAAAAAAAATAAGTCATGCCAAAAACTTGTATCCCCTTTATATATAGTTATAAATAACTATTCAATTGGTAACCAACAAAAGTTACCAACTACTCAAGTTATTTATAAAAAAGATAAAGGGCAATTTTGAAAAAAAAATAGGTCACGCCAAAAACTTGTATCCCCTTTATATATAGTTATAGATTATTATTATTATTATTCAGTAAGATATATTTTAGAGTAATTTCTCATGTTTCCAACTTTTGAGTCTCTCTCCATTTTGTCAAAGAGGTTCCTTTTATTCTCTCTAGCTTTTAGGGTTTTGTCTTATCATTGGATCATGGATCTTGTGGATATTTCTTGTTTTAGCCTACTAATTACATCATATTCCTTCTTTTTTCCTTTAAATAAATTCTAGGTAGTACAATTTCCAATATGCAGGGGACAACATGTCCTATGGTAGGTCTGATACATAGCTAGACAGTAGTGTGCATAATTATGAGCATATGAGCTTTTGTAGACTTTTTTCTTGTATTGCTTAATCATATCCGTTCAAGTTTCCAGCTCATATGCACTCCAATTCTCACATTGTTGCCACGTTTTCCCTAATGCAATGAACATTCATTCCTTGTAACATCATTTGCATTTAAGACTTTGTTGAAAATTGATATTAAAATGATGCCTCAGTTCTTCCGTGCTAGAACTTATCAGAAAGTAATCCTACACAAGTGACAAACATGAAGGATGAAAGTATCTTCATCAGCACTAAAATCTATGATTATAAAGTCAGCAAGGAAGACAAACTTGTCAACTCTCACTAACACATCTTCAATCTTCCCTTGTGGGTAGAAAATGCTTCTACCAGCTAACTGAAGTGTGATGGTTGTTGGTCTTGCAACTCTTATGTCTAGGTTCTTGAAAATGGACAAGAGCATGATGTAAATACTCGCTCCAAGATCATATAATGCTCTTCAACAAAAATAATTTCATATGTTTCATGGTGTGGTTAAACTTCCAGGATCTTTAAACTTAGGTGGTAACTTGCCTTGAGCAAATTGGCTACATTCTTGGGTTAGTGCTACAGTAACAAACTCTCAAACTCTTTTTCTCTTTGTCAACACATCCTTCATGAAAACTTATAGTAGTTTGACATTTGATGAATGACTTCAATCAGAGGTATTTTGATGTGCAATTGTTTCAAGATCACCGTGATTTTGCCAAATTATTGTTCTTTTTAGCCTTTCTAAATCTTAGGGTAAAAGGTGACAGTGGTCTCTCTTGCACAAATCTAGGTATTTTGATGATCTCATGCGTAACAGTTGTGATTTATACCGTTGAAAATTGTCGGGGTTGACTCAATTAATGTGAAGATTGTTGGAGTTGGTTAAAAATATACATGTTGAAAAAAAATCTTATATTACTTAATTTTGTAAAGGAAGAGAACATTAAGTGTTATATAATGAATTCAAGATCTTCATTACAAAATACATGAGTCAAAGTAACTTTAAACTTATATTTGACTCTTTTTTTTCTATTTTACTCTTGTGTTAGAATATTGTAAAATGTAGTTAAATATTTACTTTGGAGTTGTGGTTGTACCGGAAATCTGAGGGTAGTTTTAGATAAATTATGTATTGTAATAATTTTTATAAAATATTATTTTTAATTTGTCATTTAATAACTGCCGTGATTTATTTTTTAATTTTTTTAATAAAAAATTATATCTTTGGGTTGTTATTGTATTCTTTTATTTTATTTTTTAATAAGAAAAATTAATTTATATATTTATTGAAGAAAGTCAAGGCATTAGATATGCTACATGCTATGTCTAAACTGATAGTACAAGAAAATAAGGCATAAAAAGCCATTACAATAAGAAATAATTGAGACACCTAAACAACAACTCATTGCAGGCTCCACAACAAGCCAAATATACCCCACACATACAATACAATTCTACGTATAGCCACCGATAACAATAGTACTTGGTACTTAGTTTAACTAGTTTCGGCAGATAATATTACTTGGTACTTAGTTTAACTATTTCAACATTATCTGCCAAAGCTAAATACAAACAAAAAATTGCTTTTTCCTATAAGACAATAAGAAATGCTATTTCTACATCACATTTTACACCACATTCATGTATTTTGTTAAATAAAAAAATATTTTTATAAACAGTACATTCAATTGGGGACACTTGCCCCCACTAATTTATTTATTTTATATTAAAAAATTAATTAATTAATTTTTATTTTTCTTAAAAATTAAATATTGTCCTCATAAAATGAGTTAACTAATTTTAATTATAAATAACTAGCGTCCAGACGGGCACTCGCGTGCCCGTCTGTCCGCTTTTTTAATGCACATAAAAAAATAAATGATATTTTTTTGTTAAAACAATTTTTTTAAAAAATATAATATTATGTGAAAGTTAATAATAAGAAATTATGTGGAAGTTAATAATAATAAGTTATATGGAAGTTAATAATAGAAAGTTATTAAGGAAATTACACAATAATATAAGGGTAAAAATGATAGAAAAATAGGCCACACCAAAACAAAGTATTCCCTTTATATATTGTATAGATTAAATAAAAATAATTTAAAAGATAAGTTGTTAAAATATTATTTGACCACGTACACCTAAATAATATATGTAATAATATTGAAAAAAAAACAATTATTCTAAATATCTAGTTTAAAGATTAATTTTTTGTTTGAAAATTATTATACATTTTTTTTCTTCAATTTTTTGATGTAGTACTCCAATGGTAACAATAATTAAATTCACAAGACAAATATATATTTATTTTAATAAATTTTTATGCAAAAATTTCTAATATGCGGTATGTAATATTTAAAATATGTGTACTTCCTTATTCACATAAAAAGTATCTCACTTTTATATTTTTCTATATTGTAAAATAATTATCTCTTAAAAATACGATACAATATTTATTATTATTTTTTTATTACTATTTCTATTATTTATTAACCTTAATTTAATTCAACTATGTTATTTACTACAATGAATAAACGTATTCTGAAAAATAACATTGGTTTTTTCATTAAAATTAATATATATAATTAGTTTTTTAATTTTTATGAGATGAAAGAGTATCATGCCCCCACTAATTAATATTTCTGGATCCGTCTCTGGTATATATGAACATTAACCGTGAACAGTAATTTAAGTAGTGAAATAAAGTTGGTTAATAAAATGTAAAAAATTGGATAATGAAGTGATAAAGTTGGTTAATAGATACTCAGAGTTAAAAATATTTTTAATAATAAACCAAAATTGATTAATAAAAAATAAAAAATTGGTTAAAAAATACTTTTTAACAATATTTTTTAATAGATGTTCAGATATTAAAAAATATTTTTTAACAATAAATAAATTTTTTTATATATATATTTTTAAATATATTATTATAATATTTTATTATTTACCTTATTTGTGAACAGTAAAATATATAGTATAAGTGTATGAATTTGATATAAGAATAACAATTTTTCTAAGACAATAGACTCGAAGCATTGATCTTATTTTATGAATTATTGTCCTTCATACATATGTCAACATCATCAGCCTGCATTTTTTTTTCGGTCGGACATACATATGTATGAATGGCTACAAACAAACCACATTTTACAAACTACATTTAAAATCCTTGTTCACCACCACATAAATTTTCACGCTCAAACTCACCACACATTCATTGAAGTATACCAGCTGGTAAAGCAAGATTCCTCTAACTTAAGGCATCTATATATAACACTTATATCAAAGATCGATCCAAAAACAATGTCATAGTTTCACATAATCACTCTCACACACTTCTATCAACAACAAAAAGAAGATGAAAAAAGCACAAGTTGTGTTTATACCTTCTCCCGCTGTAGGTCATTTAGTTTCCACACTCGAGTTCGCAAAGCTTCTAATCAACCGTGACAACCGTCTCCATATAACCGTATTAGTTATCAAATTCCCACACACAACAGAAACCGATATCTACACAAAATCCCTTCCTATCTCCGATTCTCTCAATCTCATCAACCTTCCAGAATGCTCTCTTCCTCCAAACTTAGATCGAGGTTCCGCCATGACCGCTCTTCTCGAAGCTCAGAAACCAAACGTCAAACAAGCCGTATCTAATCTCACTACTGGAAAAGGACAGCTTGCTGCCTTCGTTGTCGACATGTTCTGCACCACCATGACTGATGTTGCTAAAGAGTTTTCTGTCCCTACCCTCGTCTTCTTCACTTCTAGTGTTGCTTTCCTTGGTTTGAGTCTTCATCTTCACACTATCCATGAACGAGACAACTTAGATTCAACTCAGTTGCAGCAACTCACTGAGCTGGCCGTCCCGAGTTTTGCTAACTCGGTTCCAATAAAATCGTTGCCTAGTGTTGTGCTACAAAAGGAATGGGAGACATTTATGATGGCCTACTGGAACGGGCTAAAAGATGCAGATGGAATTATCGTAAATTCATTTGACGAGCTAGAATCGTATGCGGTTGATTCATTTGTAACTGATCCCGATCTAGCTGGTATACAACTATATCCGGTGGGACCCATACTAAATTTGGAGCACAAAACCAATAGCATTGATGAATCCAATGACATCATCAAGTGGCTCGATGACCAACCTCCTTCATCAGTAGTTTTCCTCTGTTTTGGGAGTAAGGGTTCTTTCGATGAGGATCAGATTAAGGAGATTGCAATGGCAATTGAGAACAGCGGAGCCCGCTTTATATGGTCTCTTCGAAAACCTTCTCCAAAAGGCGCAATGGAGGCACCCTCTGATTACTCGTTTTTTGATTTAGGTTTGATTTTACCGAAAGATTTTTTGGATCGAACAGTAGAATTGGGAAGGATCGTTGGATGGGTCCCACAAGTTCAAATACTAGCCCATCCAGCAGTAGGAGGATTTGTTTCGCATTGCGGTTGGAATTCAACACTCGAGAGCATTTATTTTGGTGTGCCTATTGCTACATGGCCTATTTATGCGGAACAACAAACTAATGCTTTTGAATTAGTGTGTGAGTTAAAGATGGGTGTGGAGATTGCATTGGATTATAACGTGGAGGAGTTTAATGGCAAACCTAACTATCTTGTAACTGCAGAAAAGATTGAGAAAGGAATAGACAGTGTGTTGGAAAAAGATGGAGAGGTAAGAAAGAAAGTGAAAATGATGAGTGAAAAGAGTAAAACAACATTGTTAGAAGGAGGTCCTTCTTTTACTTATTTAGGATACTTGATTGATTATATTATGAATCAAACATCAAATTGAAGTATCCAAATACTCATAGCTCATATGAAATTGGTATTGGTTTCAACATTATAATGTTTGATTTTTAGTTTTGGAATTTTTCTATTTTCAATTACATTAATTTTCTTGGCTACTTTTTAAATAGGATTGGGCGTATTTATATTTAATGAAGTATTTTGGATCATTAAAAAAACTAGTAGTGACAAAATTGATTATACCTCTTATCAGTTATTGTTGCATTTTTATTTTTAATTAAATTGAGTTTACATACAAAACTTAAAGATTAGCAAAGTGCGCAAAAGTTTCTTTCTTTGAATGACTTTATTTCTTTTGAGCATATACACTAATTGAACATTTAGATCATTATTGTCAAAGAATTTTTAATAGCACTTTCCAAATGATTTTATATATATTTCAAAGGAGTAGATCATCTCTATTTTCGTAGAAAATAGAGATCAATATTTCTATGACTAATTGAATAGCATGTGACATAAAATAATATCAATGGTTAATACTATGTTTACTATTTTATGTTTAATAAATATAATTCATATCCATTTTGAGAGAAGAAAACATCTCAAGTCAAAATGTTGAAACTCTTTTGGAGCGGAATACTTTAAAAAAAATTGGGGAACACGAAACTTATAACAATGACATCTTCTTAAAGTTCATTAATCAGAATCACACTAACCAGAAACTATATCACACCATAATGTCCATAATTATGTGTCTCTCTTCTCTACAATCTCCTTCACTTCTTACTGACAACATTTAAATTACTTTTGTGTTATATCGTTATCGTGCTCTCGTGTCATTGTATAGACGTTTTGTGAGTTTGGTACAAAATGGAGAAAATTTCTAGTGTTCGACCGCCTCTTTGTCATTTCATGGGTAAGAACATTAACCATTTTATTAGAAGTCAATTTAACTGAAAATCATTCTATAATATTATTTTTTTCAAAAATGTTCCTTTTTTAATTAATATACAAAATTTATTTGAGTTTATATATTAAACACAATGAATCTATTTTTTTCATTAGAAACCTTAAATGAGTTATCGGTTTCAACCCTTGAAGGTGTGATTCAATGGATCAACAATATCATGAATTGTGAAGAAAGTTTTAATCATACACCACACTTAGAAGTGGAGTTTGAATCAAAGACAACTTCCTATGAATTTTATAATGAGCAAAGTAGGATAATTAGATTTAGTAGTCGTCGAGAATATGGCAATAATAAAAAATATATAAAATTTTGACTTCAAGAAGATTATCGTGCTTTAAAGAGAGAAATGAGGCATTGACAAACGAGACCACTTGATAAAACAATCTAGAGCATAAACTAGAACCAAATGTAAAACACATGTGGTTATTTCACTTGATCAAAAAATAAGAAAATACAAGGTTATTGACTTTGTATCTGAACATAATCACTCCCTTCAACCACCAGGATATTTTAATATAATTTTCTCTCATTGATGCACATCTAAGCTATAAGCATCACAAATCATGTTGGCTAATGACTCGGAACTTAAACCAAAAGATTATTGTGAGTATGTGTCTAAGCAAATTGGTGGAATATATATTGTTGGTTATACAAGACAATGTGGAACCTTGTTATGTATGTGATATGCATTTAACAAGGATATCAATTTTTGATGATGATAACTAATGTCTTATGATAAGTCAAGCATGGACGGATAAACGGATTAAGATACAAACTTAGTCATTAGGGTTTGATGGGCTTGACTATCCATGATGCAATCAAATGGAATGGAATCTAAAGCCTCATTTGAAGTTACTCAAGCAAGTGTCCATAAAAGTGAAAGTACCGAGCAAGTCTTGAAGTATTGGAGAATCTCTTAAATTAGTAGTGAGTGAACTTTTGTGAAATAAGGACTTTATCATAAAAGTGTGTGGCTAAAACACACACACATTAAAAGGATTTTCAAAATGTTTATTACCAAAGAAAATACATTAAAAAATATCTTGAAGTTATGCAAGAAGAATTAAGAACTGTTGAAATAGTTATGGGTGAATTTTTAACTTATCTAATCGATTGGGACATTTGTCTAATCGAATAGCTCAGTTAAAAATTAAGCCACAAGCGATTGGAACATCGCCTTAATGATTTGAAATGACTAGATATTTTATCCCTCCTTTGATAAGCTTATAATCGATTTTCTTCCAAACTTCTAATCGACTGTGAATAAGTGCTAATCGATTAGAATGTCATAAAAAGCTTTATTGGAATTTCCTTTTTGAGCCAACCTATATCCTATAAATAGAGGTCCATTTTCTTATTTAATTTTATTCAGAAACATATTTTGACACCTGTCTCTCTAAAGTTTTATTTAGATTTCTTTCACTAATGTTTAGCCTTGGTGCTTTTGTGAGAAAAGTCTTTTTGTGAGTGAGGATATAATTGTAATTTTGGAAAAGGATAGAATTGTAAAATCACCAAGGGGAATATTTTGTATACACCTTGGTTGAATATTATACATATAGGGATTTGTTTGGGTTATAAGCTAAACCCTTTAAAATCTTTAGTTTTGGGGTTTTGTGATTCAGTCCTCGATTAAGTTGGAGATCGGTCCGTGGTAAAATCTCGTAGTTCCGTGGTCAGTCCAGTATTTAAACCAAGATAGGTTGAAGTTCAACTCGATATTAAAAGCTTTATAGGTTCGTGAAGGTGAGAAAAATACACAAGAAGGGAGTTTGAATTATGTATGCCAAAAACTCATTTCACTTCTGAAACTGAACCTTCAGATTCTAAATCTCGTTCAAAGTCTGATATCAGAATATGTAATAGCATCGAAAATGAAATGTTCATAAGTAAATGCAAGCAACACACAAATGTTACCCTAGTTCGTCTCCTCAAATGAGAGTAGTTCATTTCCCTTGCCTCAACAAAAGCTTTTCACTATAACTAAACATATTACAATTTCTCAAACACACTTACAAGAGACTTCAATGCTCAATCAACCTAGAAAGAGACTTATGCTCAAGCAACCTTGCTAGAGACTTCCTGTTTAATCAACCTAGAATGAGACATTCATTTCTCAAGTACACATACAAGAGACTTCGATGCTCAAGCTCGCATGCAAGAAACTTCCTCAACTTTAAACAAATAGTTTAATAGAAATAGATATATAGTATATTTTGATATGCAATCAGAAGTATAACACTTGTGCAACAATCACAAAGGTTTTCAACCTTTCTAAGATTTTTATGATAATTCAAGATAAGAAATCATAAGAACTAATGCTATAATAGTTATAATAATAGCTCAAAGTTATGCCAAGATCTTTAATGCGTTGTGATGTTGTAACCTTCCTTTGAGTCTTCAGCTTCCTTTTATAGAGGTAGAAAAAGAGTCGTTGGAGGTTTGAACAATAGCAAACTTAGTGAGCAAGGATACCAAGAGACACGTTGGAGAGTTGTATCTGATCAGGAGTATTATCCACTGAATAAAAGTAATGTCCTCAACACCCTTCGAATAACTAGGTATCTACCAAAAGGTAGTAAGAACTTAAGAGGTCACATCACCATCCTTGAGCCTTGCAAAATCAAACCCTAATTGACTCTCTCCAAAAATTTGTTGTTTTGACGAGACTAGTCAGCTTTGGTGCAGAGTACGAATCAGACGCTCCTTAAGCCTTTAGGGTATGAGCTATCACCAGAGGCTAAAAACAACATACCAGAGTCTGAACCTACAAATGCTGATGAACATATTCAGATTCTGATCAACCAGAATTTGAGTAGTATTGCTTCTTCACTTATGCTTTCAACAGGATCAATTCATGATGAATTTTTTTTAGCTTATGATAATGCACACTTGAATGTATGTTAGTATACTCATTTGTTCTCTAAATACTTTGTTATCATCAAAACTCAAGGAGTATGAACAATATAGTTCCAACAATCTCCCCCTTTTTGATGATGACAAATAAATGTATTTAAAAACAATGGTTGGTTAGTTTTAACTAACTTGACAACGTCAGAGTCTGAGGTTTGTAAGCTTCCCCTTAGTCCAATAGTCCATAGGTTGAGGTTTGTAAGCTCCCCCTAAGTTTTATCAAAGTTAATTTAAACTTATTTCAATAAAATAATATGTTCAAAATAAAGGATTACCAAAATAATGAATAATTAGGGTTAAGGTAAATTAAAAGTATTAAAAAATACTTTTAACCTTCTTAAATATTTCCATGAACTTTCTCCCCCTTTTGTCATCAACAGAAAGTGAGTTTCGACATGCCAACATAGAAGAAGGAAAAAATATTTAATAAGATAAAAAATTATATGGGAAAGACTAATTATGGTAAAAATATAGTATGAACAACTTTTATTCTTCCCAATACAGAGAAGCGACTAAAAAATTATAAGAATTGGTCTAAAACTTGTACAGATATAACCTTAAGAGTAAAGCAAATTAATTGTATTACCAAACATGCAATGCTATAATAGCCCCAAACAACATAAATAATTCTGCTAGCCATAATTACCGGTTGACATCATCACATGAAAAATACCTATGAATCTGGCCTCCTAAGTTTGCGTTGCAAGATTAATGCTCTCTAAAAACTTCAACTCACCAAAGACCAATTATGATAATTTGTATCCACTGGGTTATTAGCACATGCTACATCTTCTAGTGGAATGTATGCATAGTTTCCATTAATAGGACCAACAACATATTAATATATCCAACCATAACACCATGGATTTCAGAGTGTGTATTTAGTGTACAATGCAAATTATCAATAGAATTAACATGGACTGCACGAATCATATACGTAGGATATATATATACTTGACTGTAAATTGTTCACCAAGATACTCCTTATTCCACCATTTTTTTCAGCTATGACTTTAACCACACTGCAAAAACTTAGACATAGAGTTGTCATGGTTTTGCTATATTAGATAGTTTGAGAAATTCTTATGTACCATTTTCAAACCCTTACTTTGACCATCAATTTCTAGAAATTAGTAAGTAACAAATGGATGCACATATTAACC